AGCAGGCCCCACGCTCGGTGACAAACAAGCCAGCCCTGTCCCAGGTGTATGCACGTTGGGTTTCTCCAAACGCCGTGAATCTGGGCTATTTTCTCGTTACACTATTGCTCTGAAATCCCAAAGTTGAGAGCCTTATCACTTCGAGTAGATATATTTTTGGAAGTGACCTTTTTGGAGACGGGACCTCTAAAGCGGGGATTAAGGTCAAATGAGATCACTAGGGTGGCCCCAATCCCACCTGACCTGTGTCCTAGTGAGAGTGGATCGGCACACAGACGTGCCCAGGGGCCCACCACGTGGGCGATCGGCGAGGCGGCCAGGTACGGACCAAACGCGGGGTCTGCCTCCACCGTGGCTGTGGGCCCGGCCTTCAGGGTGGGGAGAAATGAGCTCCGCTTGTTTAAGCCACTGGTCAGGGGGGCTCCTGTGACTGAAGGAAGACGAGGAGGACGGGGAGGGGACTCTTCTTCAAAGGACAGGGATAGGAGCTCCTGCCGGGCTTGTGGGCTGGGGGGAGGGGAGGCGGGGGGCGGCGGCCTCAGCGTTGAGCAGCAGCGGCCCCGCCTCAGGTTTTCTCCCGTCCTTCCGTGCACGAGCTGGCATGGCCAGGCCAGCGGCTGCGGTTCAGTAGTTCAGTCACCTTCGACTCCTTCGCGACCCCATGGACTGTAGCCCACCCCGCCCCCATGTGCAGGGTCCCCACCTACAGGGCGAGCTTCCAGGACCTGAATCCCATCCCTGCAGCCCTGGGGAGGGTGTTTTGCCCTGAAAAGAGGCCCATACAGGGAGACCACGTGTCCTGCTGTGCCTGGGACAGTCCAATGCCCTCTGTGGTCCTGCAGTGGGAGGCTGATGGCCCAGCCCCCGGGGGAAAGCTATTGGAGATTCATTTCCCTGTTGACTAAACTCTAGAAGGGAACAGCAGGACAACTAAGGGAGGAGGCCGGGCCCTGCCAGACCACACGTCTCTGATTCCTGAAGTCAGGAGACCTCCCGGACCACATGTGTGCAGAAAGGCTCCCTGGAGACCAAAGGAGGCTCATGTCAAGGGATGTTCTACCCAGACACCTTTGCAGTAAAACCATCTTGTCTAAGAGATGTGTGTGCACGTGGGAAGAGCCTGAGATAGACCAAGTATGGACTGAGAACCAGGCAAATCAAAATGACTGGCCAAAGAAAACCCGGAAGAAACGTCCCGAAAAGTAATTCAAGTCACGACAAGGGCCTGACTCAGTGCCTCTCTCTCTGAGTCCGCCACGTGTCTGCCCATGTGTATTGGACTCTTTTTCATCGAAATAAACACTTTACTTAATTCACTCCTTTCTGTCTTTGTGGGAGTTCTTTTTTGCAAAGCTGAAGGACCAGGGCCAGGTCACTGACCCCGGGCCTAGTGGCTAGGATCTGGTGCTTTCACCGCTGGGACCTGGCCTCAGTCTCTGCCTAGGAACCCAAGCCCCCTCCAAGCCGCAGCAGGCCGAGGCCGCCCGAGATCAGTCCGGCCGGACCTCACACACAGGGATGAGGAAAGGGTGGAGGGGACATGGAGATGAAATGCCCTGAAGTCCAGGCTCCCGGGCAGGTGCTACGTGGAGACGGGGTGTCTGGCGGGGTCACTGTAAGCCTTGAGGCTGCCTCACACTGGTCTTTCCTATGCCCCCGCCCCCGTCCCTAATGGTGTATCTGTGACCCTGCCGGGGACCCACCTACTCTCCCAGGAGGGCCGGAGCCACGTAAGCACCTCTGAGGACCCTCTGAGCACGTCTATCCCTCTGTCCCCACAGGCCTGGCCCCGGAAGAGCCCCCTGCTGCCCCAGCAGCTGGGACAGGACATCTCTTCTTTACATTTCCAAATTAATTATGGAAATATTCAAACAGACATGAAAAGACCCTCTTTAGTGATTCTGCCTGTGTTCCAGCCACTGTTTCCTTTTCCCTCTTGCTGGAGACTATTTAAAGCCAACTCAGATATCATATCATTTTACCCGCATCTACTCTGCTTCAGTCAAAAATAAAGAAAAGCTGACTTCGCACTTTATCAGAAAGGGTGTGAGCAGCAAGCTGCGATGCTTTCCATGGGTGGTTGGGGCGCCGGTGGCTGGCCCAGCCCGACCCGCGGGGACCCTCTACCACCCTCGGTGCTCACAGTGATCAGTGGTGCTGCCTGGACCCCCCGTCAGTCCTGAGGGATGGGCACCCCCGGAACCAAAGTGCTCGAACAGCACATCTTATCCAAATGGCAGCGGCTCTCGCAATCAGGCGACAAGAACTGGGAGCCGCGCAGGGAGGCGGGGGCCTGGGGTGGCGCGTGCACACGCGGGTGGGGGCCCTCGGACCCTCCCGGTGAGCCTCTTCGAGGAGCCGGTCCTCTGGCCAGTGGCTCTCACGTGGGGCCTGGCTCACACCGCCTGACTGTGGGACGCCAGGGCCCTGTGGGCGTGCGCCGGCGTGGGGGGCTGTGTGGGCACACCCCCGCCCTGGGGGAACATGTGCGCAGCCAGCTCCCTGGCTGCGGATGTGAGCTGCCCTTGCGGACCACGGTCAGCTTTGAAGGGAGGGCGTCTGCCAGCGCGGGGGCCCCGGACGCTCGGGGCAGCAGGCGTTTGCAGGTTGGTGGAGGAGCACAGAGGACATAGGGGTCCGGCCGCCTCCTGCTCCTGAGGAGGGGGTTTGGGCAGGTGCTGGCGGCGGGGCCGGCAGCCCTCGAAGGGCCCTCTGGCCATGACCGCTGGCTGCCTCCGGAAGGGTCCTTCCTCTCTGTATCTCTCCTGCCACGCTTCCTGAATGGGCCTCCTCTTATCTAACGCTTACCCACGTCTCATCTGGTCTCAGAGGCCCCTGGTCGGGGCACTACTATCATGTTCAAGTTCAAGAGCACGTGTCCGTGGTCTGCGTTTCCTGTGGGGCTGGGACCAGCAGGGTGTGAGGATGTGGCGGGACACAGTGGCTGGAACCCACCAGAGATGGCAGGAGGCAGGAGGAGAGGCCGCGGGAGGGAGGTGCGCCCGCCAGGCCGAGGGAGCACCAACAGGGCTGCGGGGGTGCCTGGGCCCGGGGCAGGGGGCACATGCCGGATGTGCTCTTGGAGACGGGGAGGGGGAACGTGTGGGCCCACAGAAACGTCAGGACGGGAGAGGGTGCAGGGAGCCACCTGCCCGGGCTGGGAGCTGCCCTGTCCAGGGAGCACAGCTGCTGGGACAGGCAGAAACAGGGGGCTGGGGGCACCGGCGGTGGGGGGCTGCGTGCCCGATGATTTTTAAGACCAGCATGGGTCGACGCCAGGTGAGCCGGGGCCCCGCACTGGTGGAAAGGCCAGTCACCGGCCTGTGGACCGGAGTCTGCAGGAGGCACCTGGGGCGAAGGCTGAGGAGGGGTTCTGCGTCTTTCAAAAGCAAAGCAAGCTAAGCTGAGGGCTTGGAGAACTTCCCCAGAATCAGCGAATGGGGGGCCTTTGTGGTCCTGTTCAACTGAGCGTGAATTTCCTACAGAGCTCCGTGGAAACAGACAGACAGACGTCCCCAGTTGGGGGCAGGCATGTTCCTCAAATTACTTTCCAGGCTCCCTGCTTAGATCTCCGACAGGATGCTCCGGAAAAAGCAATGTTAAGGGCCAGGCGAGTTCACAACAGCCCAGCAAGCCTTGCAGTGGATGCTGGCAGCGCTCTTCCTACTATATCCAGACATGGCTTACAGGTACCCGCCACCGGAAACGACATCAGAGTCCCAGGGAGACACTGTCCCCATGGGCTGGGCCTGGTGGAGTGGGCCGTGCAGCCCATGGCTCCCTGGCGTCGGTAGGGTGGTGCCTTCCAACGCGCCTGACTTCTGCTGTTCTGAATCCAGTTCTTAAAAAGAACTCTTGGGATGCCGGGGTCTATGAAAGTCCCTTAAATCTTAAATTTAAAGGACCTTAAAATCCTCTTATCTCACCACGTTTCCAAAGCAAAACTCAAAATGCAGTTTGTGCACATTCTTGAGGGCCTCCCAATACAAGAAGCAGTTTTCAGGCCACACATGGAAACACCAGGGCACTGTGGTGCTGAACGGGGAGGAAGACGCTGTTCTGGGCCAGGGCCGCCCTGCGGGCCCAGTGGGCACACTGCGTGGTGACCACCGCGTTGGTGTCTGCAGGCAGGTCCCTCAGAGTAAAAGGCGCAGGCGGGGCGGCATGTCTGTTCCCTCCCAGCCGTGACTCACGCTCCCCAGATCCTAAGCATCTGTGGGGAGAGCCCTGGGGGGTGCCTCTGCCTCCTCCGGGAGCGGAGGGGACGAGCAGTCAGCCCTGGTCACCCCAGACGGCCACCGGGCAGGGCGTGCCCACCCTCCCACGTGTGCGGGAACCCCAGCCGCCGGCTCAGTGCGAGGGGCAGCTCGGGCAGGGCCTGCACCCCTGCTTCCGAGCTTGGTTTGGGGCGGTGGGAGGCAGGGATAGGCTGGGGGAAGGGATGTTGGCACACGGATTAAGATCACTTATTTGTGTCTTATTTTCAGGTCGGAAAGTGTAGGCTAAAAGAGAGCAAGTTAAAAATAAAACGGTCGTTTTCTGTAAAAAGAACATTAAACCAGCGGTCACAGGTCAGGACGCCGGCCTTGGTCACAGGTCAGGACGCCGCCCTTCGAACCCGCGGGGCACGCAGGCCTGGCCAGCTGTCAGAAGAATCTAAACTGGACTCACCTCCTCCCACCCTGGCTGCGGCAGGGAGGCCCCGGGGTGCGGGGTGCGGGGCGGCGGGACCCTCTCCCCTCCGGGGGCCATCCCCGCGCCCGCATTCCCTGGGCTGCGTGCGCGCCCGCGCTTGGCCCGCTGCCTCTGCTGCGGGGCCGGGTGGGGGGGCAGGGAGCCCGCGCGCCCCACGCAGGGATCAGGCAGCTGGGTGCCGAGGGTCCCACGTCCACGTGCGCGCGAAACTTTACTCTGGGCCTTTTTGTGCGGTAGGATCGATCCGTATGGGTTTGAAAGGCCTGAAGACTTTGATTATGCAGCTTATGAAGAATTTTTTTCCACCTACCTGGTGATCCTCACCAGGAGAGCCATCAAATGGTCCAAACTTCTAAAGGGCGGCGGTGGTGTCCAGAGGAGCATGACCGGTGAGTTCGGCGCCTGACCCAGCGGGCGCGCAACAAGTCATTCGGTCGGTGCCGTGCGCTCGGGGGAGCTCAGGACTTGGGGTTCCTTCGAGGCCGGGGGCGCCGCCCCCTTCCCAGCCGTGCCCCGCGCAGGCGCACAGGTGAGAGGCCCCCCTTTTCTCGCCTGAACGTGGGGCCTGCTCGCCCTTTGAGACGCATAGCGCCGTGGACCTCTTTCCAGAAGAAGCCGGGTTTCCTGCTCTCCAGAGCGAGCGGCCAGGGCAGTGCTCCTGCCGGCTTCTGTGCGGAGCGCTCCCTGTCCCCGTCAGAGAGAAAGCGGGGCGCTTCCTGGACCCCTCAGCTCCTCCCCTGCCTCTTCTTGGGGGTCTTCCCAGCCCCAGGCTGTGCCCCGGCCTCCTTCAGGTCTGGATTGGAGCGCCTGCTCCTGGAAGCCTTCCAGTCTCACCCGGCAGCCCCACACTTCCTACCCTTGCCTCTCTCCGGTCCTCCATGTGGGGCTCTTATTTTATCCTTAGTTTTCCCGCTGGGGTCAAAGATCCCCCTGTGCCGCTGGGGTGGCTGATGGTCCCTTAGCTGTTTGTTGAATAAATGAAAGAATGGTTTGCCTGCCTGCTCTCCCCCTGAGGATATCTGTGTCCTCAGACCTGCCGGCAGGAGGTGAGGAGTGGGCAGGAGTGTCCCCAGGGGCGCTTCCTGACACAGGGCGTTAATGACAGTGAAGGGGTGAGGACAGGGGTCCCAGCTGCCTGGGGCTGAGCCGTGTGACCAGAGCATTAGGGGTGAGGAGAGGAGGGCCCGCACCAGCTGACGGTGGGCACAGGGGCACGTCCAGGCCGAAGGAAGGAAGTTTTTAAGGGGCGGGGGGCAGATCAAGGTTTATCTTTGAAGGGCCATCCGTCTGAAAGGCAGATGTCTTTAGTTGTACCGAGGGCCACGCCCGCCTTGCTGCTGGGCATTAACGTGCTTCCAGCTCAGTTTGGCTTCATTTTTTTCTTTTGATTTGTTTTTTTAAAGTTATGTACAAGTATATAAAAATACAAGGTAGACAACTTTTGCACGTGGGAGAACATCTTGGTCACACTCGAAGGTGTGAATTGAACTGAGTTTCCCAGCTGCCCAGGCCCCCACCTCCCGTAGAGGGGCAGCCGTGACTGTCCCGCGTCCCCCAGGAACAGGGTGCACCGTTAGCTTTCATGCAGGAGGAGACCTCCTGTCCAACAGGGACCCAGAGGTCAGTTAACGCCGCAGAGAATCACTGCAAGATATCCAGGCGTTCATGAGCCTTTTCACATGACACACGTGTGGACATGAGCCTGGTCATCGTTTTTTGTACAGTGAGGGCCCACTAATTCTGTATCTTTCCTGCGGAAACTGTTGTTCAGTCGCCAAGTCACGTCCAACTCTTCGCGACCCCACGGACTGCAGCATGCCAGGCCTCCCTGTCCATCACCAACTCCCGGAGCTTGCGCAAACTCACGTCCATTGAGTCGGTGATGCCATCCAACTGACTCTGGACATTTAAGTTGGTTTTATTGAAACCACTATTATGTCTTTTTTGCTTTACCTTTTAAAATTTATGTAATGATGGTTAAACTTTGTAATTATGGTGTAACAGGTTTAGGAGCAGATATACTTGATTCCTGGTGAGCCTTGGCCTGGGGGTGGGGTTCTCTGTCAGCTGAGCTGGAGGGCATAGTGGCCTGGGGTCCTTTCAGGAAGCCTGGCGAGCGGCCTGTGGGCTCACCTGGTTCTGTCGTCTGGGGTGTTGCCGCGAGCTGGTGTAGCTTCCGGGTGTGACGGCCGGGGCTCCTGCAGCACCCGAGGCACTCCGAGGGTGTGGTCAGGTGTAACCTGGAGTGGGTTTGTTAGTCAGGAAGTGGGAATACAGTTTCTTCCTGCCAGACGTTCTGGGCTGGCCGGTGTGTCCACAGCTGTGTGATGTCCCGTGGGAGGGAGCCCGTGAGGGCCGTGGGCCCCAGGTGGGCAGTGGGAGCTCCATTTGGGGCCCTGACCTGGAGCCCGGCGACCACACCTGGAGAACTGCCTTTGCCCCGTTCCTCAACCGCATCTTGCTTTTGGGCTCTCCTGTGTGTGTTCTCTTTTGAGAGGACTTGTGTCCACATCTGCAGATGAGCGCTGAAGCTCAGCCTGCGTGAGGGTGTTAGCTGCGGGTACGTGGTTTCTTTTCTTTGTCGGTGAGGGAGGTCCACCAGGACCTGCGATCTCTTACTCACTCTCAGCGCTCGGCCTGGCCGGCCGTGCCGGGCGAGCTGCCCCTACACCCCTGTCCATCCTGGCGTGGAGGGACTTGACGGCGGGAGCTCCTTCTGTTTTCTTCTTTCTCTCCTGCCCCATGGGTGAGGAGCACCATCTGAATAAGAATGAAATTGCAAGATATGTTTAAAGACAAATACAAAAAAAAACCCTGGGAACCTGCTTAACTCCTGGGACAGACAGCTGGGAGTTAATTCTTTGGGGTCAAGCTTCTCCTTAAAAAAATTTCCCACCTGTTTCTGCTGCATAGTTTACAGTCCTCCAAATGTCGGAATGAAGAGTGGATCAGCCCTGCCCTTGCTCTGAGGATGGGAGAACCATTTTCTTCCTCTTCCAGAGAAACTGAGTCAAGTCAGATAACAGGCAGTGAAAGTAGCAGAAGCCCTTATTCTCTGAAACTTCTGGATGTTGTTGTTGTTCTTGAAACCAACTGGAAGTCCGGAACCCTAACTGTATTTCAGGCCCTGGACTTTGCTTCCATTTTGCAGGGATGGAAGGAAACCGAGGCATGATCGAGGTATGGTCTGCCTAGCCAAGTCTGACGCCAGAGTTGGGGGTTTAACCAACTTGCACTTCCCTTTTTATACTTTCTATTAATTGTTTAAAACTTCGCAGTGAAGTTCACTCTTCTTGGCGTGTTGCCGTGTGAGTGTGTTCAGACGCACACTCAGGTAATCGCCCCACGCACAAGGTTTAGAACAGCTGGTCGCCTTCAGGGTGCCCTCCTGCGTGGTTCTGGGCGGCTGACCTGCAGGCCTGGACGTGGGTGAAGGCCTCGGCTGAGGGAGCGGGGACTAGCCGAGGCCGTGGGGCTGCCGGGGGATCCTGAAGGTGCGTTGGTGTCTCTCCCTTTTTCTAGTTCTTTGGTTTCTCTGCAGGTTCTCTTAGTTACACGTAAGTCATCCTCGTGTTGATATTTGTGGTGCTGCCGTGATACCGTCGCAGTGTTTTTATTTCCGCTCTTTGCGGTCCGTCCGTGAAGTTACCATGAATGTCTGCGTCTTTTCCTTCTGCCCCGTCTCAGTGGGAGCGGTCCTTGCCCAAAGCCAGGACTGAGCCCCCCCTCGCGGCCTGAGGGAGGATTGATTCAGGGCACCCCTGAGCATGCCGGGCCCTGAGGTGCTGTGTAAATAGTAGGAGGTTGGAGGGATGGTCCTCTGAATGATCGCTGTGCCTGATAGACTGAAATAGCACGTCCAGTAGCGGGATGACCACGTCACACTGGCCGAGACAGTCTGGCCGCACGTGGTCCTCCAGCTGCACGGGCGCCTCTGAGCTGCAGAGGGTTCTTGGCTTTCTCTGCCTCTGGCGGGTGGTGTTCAGGTCCATCCTTTCCTTCCCCTGGGCCTTCCTCCTCATCCCCCAGCCTCTGCAAACTCCCATCCCGCACGCCCTCCACACGCCCTCCACCCTCCCAAGAGAGGCGGGTGCACGCGACCTGGCCTCCGGCAGGCGCTTTCAGGAGCTCGTGGACTGGTGGCCGTCAGTTTGAGCTGTAAGATTTCAGCAGCAGCACTTTTTTTGCTTCTAACCTAGAACATTGTTCCTGTATTTTTTTTTTGTTTGGTACAGCGGGTGCCTGAGCCAGTGCTGATCTGCGTTCAGGGCCGTGGTGTCTGGCCCAGCGTGCGGGGCAGGCCGGGTTGGGGGGAGGCAGCCCGTGTCCCCGCACCGCTGCTGAGGTGGGGGCCAGGCTGCTGCGGCCCCCCGACCGCTCAGCATGAGCGGAGAGCGGACGTCTGTAGGGAGGGCCTGTACCTGTGGGCAGGGCATGCCTGTCTTGCCTCTCCCATGTCTGACTTACTGATTTGTGAGAGCTATCAATGGAAACTCTTGGAGGGGGGCCCCTCCCTGCAGCTTCTGGGGCCCAGGAGGCCCCCCCCCCGCCCCCGGGCCCATCTGAAGCTGCCATCTCCCTGTCTCAGTGAAGCGCTACATTCGCAAGGGCGTCCCACTAGAGCACCGGGCCCGCGTCTGGATGGGGGTGAGCGGAGCCCAGGCCCAGATGGACCGGAACCCCGGCTACTACCAGCGCCTCCTGCAGGGGGAGCGGAGCGCCAGCCTGGAGGAGGCCATTCGGACAGGTGACGGCGGCCCCCGGGGTGGGGCGGCCCTGTGGGTGGGGGCGGCCCTGCAGGTGACGCGGCCCCCGGGGTGGGGCGGCCCTGAGGGTGGGGGCGGCCCTGCAGGTGAGGGCACCTCCCCCAGGGGAAGTGTGTCTGCACCCAGACTCCTGGTCATGATGTGGATGAGGAAACCTACGCTGTCAAAGGCACACCCCTGATTCCCACTTTCTCAAAGGACAAGCGAAATGGGGGCTTATTTGACAGGAGGACTGTGATCTGAATTGGTTCAGAAAATCCTTGAGCGGGCAGCTAGGTGGTAAGGAAAATGGTAGAGAGAGTGGGTTTCTTCCGTGAGGACGCTGTCCAGGGGCGTGAGGAGGCCTCGGAGCGAGCCGTCAGAACAGACATGGGCTGGGTGACCCGAGGACGCACAGACGCAGCTGCAGGAAGCCGCGCGCCGCGCCCGCTCTTTGCGCCCGACTCCGAGCGTCCGGAGACGTCACGCCCTGGCCCGTCTCGTGACCCCAGCTTCCTCGCTGCCCACAGGCTCTCACAAGTGCAGAGTCCTCAGAAAAACGGGTAACCTAAGTTGAATAACTAGATCTTTAGGAAAGACATCCATTTTTCCAATTTTACCAGTTTCTGAGAACAACAAAGTTAAACACGAAGTACTTCATTTAAAAAGTTGGTCACTTTAAATGTCTGGGAGGTGGGATTGACTGGGGACAGTGAGAAAGTGGTGTGGCCCCAGCGTAAGGAACAGGGGTCTTGGATCCCAAAGCTGCAATGGAAAAGGCGATGGGCCGCTGAGCCTGCTGGCCGCACCCTGACCCCCCAGAAAACCCTGGCCAGAGGCCTCGGGACAGACGCTGTCGTGACCTGCAGGGAACGTGGGTTCCCTCTGCAGGGACAGCAGTGCTGACATGGGCAGGGAGAGACCACAAGTGATGGGTGGTTGTTTGTCTGAAAAATGAATCTTAAAGGCTCTATTTGGTGTAGAGTGTTTGGATACTTTTATTTTTAATTATGGTGAAACGTACACACCTTGCAGTTTACCATTTTATTTTTCCAAGGGAGCCTCTGTCCCCTTTACACACGAAGCCCCCCAGCCCTGGCTCCACCGTCTGCTCCCTGTCTCTGTGAGTCTGACTCTCCTAGACTTCACGTGGGTGGAATCAGGCGGTGTCTGTCCTGTATCTGGTTGGTTTCACGGAGCGCAGTGTCCGAGGGGTCCACCCTAGCTGTGTGTGCGTCAGGCCTTCTGCCCCCTGGCTACAGTGAATTCTGGCTGAACAGGGTGTCAAGTAATTCTCTGAGACCCACGGTCAGTGCTCTGGGGACAGACCTCGAGGTGGAATCGCTGGGCCACACGGCCGCTCTGGTCTGCTGTCAGGGAGTCTGCGTCAGTCGTGGTGCAGGGTCAGTAGAGCAGGTGCATCGTACATCAGCCCAGACGGGACGTTCACCACATCTGCCTCCGTGCAGGGGCTGGGGAGAAAGATTTCAAAACCTGCTAAAGCTTCTCATCATAAGGATCATCACACAGGCGTGAGCACAGTCGGTCAGTCTACTCTGAATTAGCGAAAAACTCATTTCCCCCGATAGGTGCCAGTTTGGGGAATGTTCAGAATTCCATGGAAAAGAAATCTTTTTTTGTAAAAAACATGTGGTTGAAAACTACATGCTTTGAGGCAGCCAGTTTGCTGTTTGGCTCAGATCTGGTCTTTGTGGGCAGGTGCAAGGCTGGGGTCCTGAGCTTGGGGGCAAAATTCCCGCAGCCGCCTGGAGGCCTGGCATTGTCAGCGGTGTCCACGTGTGTCGCTTCGCTGACACTGCCGCTCTGCTCCAGGCAGGGTCAGATGGTGTCCGTCAGCCTCCTCACTCTGCCCTGGACGCAGGCTCACAGAAATGCAGCGGGGGGCGGGGAGGGGGTGGCGGAGGTGGAAGAGGCCGCCAGGCACCCTCCTGCAGACAGAAGTTGGTGGTGATGAGTTTATCTGTGCTGTGCTAAGTCAGTCATGTCTGACTCTTTGCGACCCTATGGACTGTAGCCCACCAGGCCCCTCTGTCCATGGGATTCTCCAGGCAAGAATACTGGGGTGGGCTGCCTTCTTCTCCAGGGGATCTTCCCGACCCAGGGATTGAACCACGTCTCCTGCCCTGACAGGTGGTTCTTCGCCGCTGGTGCCTCCTGGGTAGTTTTCAGTTTTGTCTCTTTATCTCCAAACGGAACTCTCAGCATGTCCTGCCTGCTTCTGTTTTCAGTCTTAAGAATTGGGGAAAATTTCCAAAGCTTTATGTAAACTGCTCACGCTTCACCCACACCTCGTCCCCAGCTCAGAGAGGGGCATGGGGACGGGAGGAGACGCTGGGGACCCGGCAGCCTGGCGGAGGGGAGCTGATGTTGGTACTGATGGGAGAGTAAGGGCTTCGGGGCGCTGGGGGCCCGGGGGCGGCCTGTGCTGGCGCCCCGAGCGCTCTGCGGGTCTCCGCAGACATGAGCAGGACCTTCCCCGACAACGTGCGCTTCCGGAAGGACGCGGAGCCTTGCCTGCAGGGGCCCCTGTACAATGTGCTGCTGGCCTACGGGTGCCACAACCACGGCGTGGGCTACTGCCAGGTGAGCCCTGGGCCCCCACAGACCCTGGGGCCTCGCCCAGCCGGGGCTCTCGGCAGGAGTGGGCTGGGGCGGCCGCGGATGTGAGCACAGGTGTGTCACCGGATGTGACCAGCAACCTGTCGCCTCGGAGCCGATGGTGTGTGTGTGTGCACGTGCGTGTGTGTGTGCACGTGTGGGTGAGTGGTGTGGCGGGCTGGCCCAGAATGCAGGGCCTCCTTGGGAAGCCGGGCAGCTGGCGGTGTGCAGGCGGTGGGGATCAGCTCTTGCGCCCCTGGAGGTGTCCTGTCTGCAGCATTGCGGGGACGCGTGTGCACAGCCCGGACCGTGAGCCCGGGGGCCAATCCTCGGGCTGCCGGCCCTCCTGCTGTGTGCTCTGGAGGCTGCGGTGTCCTGGGGGGTGTGGGCAGGGGGGCGGGGCTGGGGGGTGCGGTACCCACTCTCCAGGCCCCAAGCCAGGGGCCAGGCCTCCCGAGAGGACGACTGGGCATTCAGAGCCGTGGGAGGTGGCGCCCGAGCGGCCCGTGTGGTTTCTTCTAGTGAGGGTTTCACGAGGACGTGCCCTGCAGAGTCCAAGAATCAGGCCTGACCGCACGTGTCTGTCGATGGCAGAGCCTGCGAGGCCGACGCTACCCCGGACGGTCATTCCAGAATCACATGCGTTCTAGGGAAGGACGAGGAAGATGGGGAGTTAGCGGGCAGCAGCCACACGGTTACAGGGTCTGGGGGTGGAGCCAGTGTCAGCGCAGGCCTCCTCTGTTTGTCTGATTTCAGGGGACGAGCTTCATCGTGGGGTGTCTGATCCTGGTGACATTTGTCTGATTTCAGGGGATGAACTTCATCGCTGGGTATCTGATCCTGGTGACTAAGAGTGAGGAAGAAGCCTTCTGGCTGTTGGACGCCCTGGTGGGCAGAATACTCCCAGGTACGTGGAGTCCCGCTTTCTGGTGTTGCTGTAACGATGCTGCTGACAAGTCAGGGCATGACGAGACAGAAGGCGTATTTGAGAGGTTGACCGTCCTTCTGCAACTGAGTTGAAGCGAGACGCTCATGACAGGGGGCCTAGCGGAGCGGCGGCCTCTCCCCCGCCACCCCCACCCCGCGGGCAGCGCTGTGTCTCAGCCTGGGCACTGCTGAGCCGCTTGCTCAGTTATCTCAGAGACCGAATCATGATGGAGGTTCCCACCGTGACCATTTCCAGGTGTTGTTTGGGCATTTGAGGAACTTCAGGGAGCAAAGCCTAAAAGCCTGGCAGCGACAGCAGCTGAGAAGCAGGTGAAGACATGGTGCTGGGGGGCGGGGGGCCGACCCCGAGAAGCAGGAAGCAGGGCTCTAGGTGCCCCCCACGCAGGGGTTCATTACAGAGACTTAAAGTTAGAACATGTCGTTTCCAGTAGTCCTTAGATGCAGTCCCATTAAAATACAGCAAAACGGGTCTTGCTTCAAAAACAAAAGGAAACCTCCAGGTGAGCGGTCAGGGCTGGGGGGAGGGGTCATCGTGCCTGCTGGGGTGGGCAGGGCTGCGAGTCCTCGGGCCTCTGGGTGCACCAGCTAGGTCATTTCAGCACGTGCGCATCCTGCGTTTAGCTGCTTCTGTCTTAATTACACCAAAGCTGCACAGGTAACCCGCATCTCTGGAATTCCGAGACTGCAGCGCTGGCCGCTGTCCTCGGTGTCCCCCGTCCCGCTCGTGCTGGGCCTGCTCGCCGCCCGTGCTCAGCAGGGTGGGGTCCGCGTCTGCAGCATTTGCTCCACATTTGTGTGCACACAGGTGCACAAGCGCACGCGGAACAGTGGAAGTTCATGACAGAGAATGACAGGATAGAAAGGTGAACTGAGACAGCAGCTGGTTCTTTGGGAAAACTGTTGTAATAGACAGACATCTGACCAGACCAATAAAGAAGGGGATGAGGAATCTAGAAGTGGAAAAGGCGCTGGAATTGGAACCGCCGCAGGGACTCTCAAGAGCCACTCGAGAGCTCAAGTACAGTGAAGAGACAAACGGATGGTTTGAGAATACAGGCTGACAGCCGGAGAGAGGACATCTGAAAGGCCAAATGCACAGATAGAAGCATCTCAGGAAAACACGAACAAACCGACGATTCCCACTTTCTAAAAAATCTTGCAGAAAACAGAGAAAGATGAACTGTCAACCTGCATTGTGAAGCTGGTGTAGCCTTCCTGTCGTACAGGCTGATCTCAGGAGGGATACGAACACAGATCTCATTAAAATAATACTCATGTCAGCACCCGGAGTTGAGCGATGGTTATAGGGTAGTGTTTTCTTAAATATATGGCTTAATATGTGGATGGATTAATCCACATATTAAGGACGGATAATGGCTTAGTCAAGGATGGAAGGATGGCTTAATCATGGAAGGATCACTGGCCGGCCTGAGCCAGGAAGGCTGGAAAGAGGAGTGTTGTCCTGGTGGCGTTTAGCCCCTCAGCCCTGTCCGACTGCGACCCCATGGACTGCAGCCCACCGGGCTCCTCTGTACTCCGGGCAAGAGCACTGGCGTGGGTTGCCATGCCCCTCTCCAGAGGATCTTCCCAGCCCAGGGATCAAACCAGGGCCTCCTGCATTGCAGGCAGAGTCTTTACCTCTGGGCCACCAGGGAAGCCTGGAGAGGAGAGTGCTGGAGTTGTATCAGCTGCTGTAACAGTTGTTAGGTCAGCGACGGGTAAACGGGTCTGTCCATCTGCTGTATTTGGTGCGTGAGATGTATCGAGGAGCAGGTAGAAGACTGTTTGAAACGTCATACCATGACGGTTTTGCCTATAGAGAAGAAAACGAAACTAGACACTTGCTTCAATTCCAGGCAGATTCTAAACGTGAAGAAGCAAAGCTTTGAGACTCGAAATGAGACAGAGAACAGTGTCATGATTCCAGAGCAGGAAAGACGTCCTTGAACAAAGTTCAGAAAGCATAAAAGACACAATTGGTCATTTTAATGATGTTAAAATTAAAAACTGATTTTGACACAAGACATCCTCCACACAGTAAAAAGGGATCCATACAATTAGCTTGTAAAGAATTCCTAAAAGTCTAGGTGGATAGAGGTCGACAGAAAAGAAGGTGAAGAATATGCCTGACGGGCAGTTTAGAAAATAGGAGACCTGCGTGGTCCCCGAGTTGGGGTGAGGCAACCGTGGTCTCCCGGGAGCAGGGAGGCCAGGTCTCAGCGCCGAACGATGCTGGACATCAGCGGCGTGGGTGCGGCCACTGGAGGCCTCCCCCCAGTGCCCACGACACCCCGAGTTCAGAGCAGTCAGGCCGAGGAGGAGCAGAGGCAGGGAGAGTGCCACCCTAACGAGGTGGCGACGCAGCGTCCCCGGTCCCCTTGCTGGGCCTGCCAGGCTCTGCCAGCCCTGGAGCAGCATCTGTGCTGGTGTTTGATGTGTCGCTTCTTAGCCGCTCAGACAGCTCCCTGCGGGACTTCACGTTTGCCCCCTCATCCCAAGTCAGCAGAAGACCAGCCGCCGGCATGCAGACACTCTGGTTGCTGAAACTGGGCTCACCTGGTGGTGGGTGAGGAGCCAAGAGAGACACAGCCAGGCTGGAGGCAGGAGGATGGGTCCTCACAGGGAATGTGGGGGTCTCTCCCGGAGCTGTGAGTCCCCAGCAGCAAACAGTCATGTTAACCTAAGCGTTTGAGCGTCATCCTGCTGGGGCTGGAGGCGGGAGGATCGGCACGGACCTGGCCCCAGGCCCCAAGCCCGCGGGCCACAGAGGTCAGCGCTGCCATCCCTTAGCGTCCCTGCGGCCTGCCGGGCAAGCGCTCCAGGGCGTCGGAGTTCTGGAACAGCTCGGGACAGTGCTTCCGGCTCATCTTTACCTTGGGAACAGAGCTGGGAGTCTGCACTGATGCATTGTCTCTGTTGTGAGGCAGCTGTCACCCTGGCCTGGTCGCAGCTGTGTGTGTGCACCTTTTGTCCCTTAAAATCTATAACTGAGTTTGCCGGGTGGCTCAGTGGTAAAGAATTCGCCTGTCAGTGCAGGAGGCCCAGGAGACACGAGTTTCATCCCTGGATCGAGAGGATCCCCTGGAGAGGGAAATGGCAGCTCACTCCAGTGTTCTTGCCGGGAGAATCCCATGGACAGAGGAGCCTGGCGGCTGCAGTCCACAGGATCACAGAGTCAGACAGGATGCGCGACTGAACCGCCACAAAATCTCTAACGACTGACCTTTTATTCTGCAAAGACCTAGATCACAGGACGACCCAGACCTAAAATAGCTTGTTTTACATCAGAAAAGTCATGCCCGAGTCTCTTCCTCCAGGGACCCATCTGCCCCCGACTCCTGAGCCTGCTGAAAAGCCCCGTGCGCCTCCCACCTTGTCAGGGCTGAGGTGGGGTCTGGGGTGTCACATGAGGGAGGGGTCCATCCCTTAGTGAACGAATGCATCCGGGTCCCGAAGAGCTGGTCCCACCTGCTCGCCCTGCGACACGGGAAGCGGGTGGCTTCCCCGCCGCAGCTGGACAGCGAGGCCCAGGGCGGGCGGCGGGGCTCCCCCCAGCCTCGCAGCCTTGCTCATCCCCCCCACCCCCCATGCTGACTGGGCTGTGTACAAAGGGGGCGCCCCGGGAGAGGCCTAACTCGGGCCCCGGAGGGGAGGCTGGACCAGGGACCCATGAGAAGTTTCTTAGCCTCTGCGCAGACGGGACCCCACGGGTGGGGCTGGCTGTCGGGGTTTGTAGGTGTTCTCAGCCGACCCACAGGGGGCTTTCAGTGACCCTTCGGCAACCGGCTCAGGCCTGTGGCGGCTTCGGGGGGTGACCTTGACTCTTCTGGGAGCTGCCATAAGCCTCTGTAGCCAAAGTGAGACGGTGCTGAGCTTGCGTTGCGCAAATCCGCTTGTCTGCTCCGCGAGCTGCTCAGGGCCGCCCCCCCGTCCCCGGGGCCAGACTGGGCACTGCTGGGCAGGGGCAGAAGGAGCAGCGGGCCAGACTCGCATCCCGGCGGGGTGGGGGGGCAGGGGCAGAGGGGGCGGCAGGTCTGACTCGCAGCCTGGCGGGGTGGGGGGTGGGACCAGGGGGCGTGGTGGGGAGGGGCGCCCCAGGCCCCAGGTGTTGTTGACCCAACGGCTTCTCCAGCCTTGGGCTCAGCTGAGCGCATGCTCACCCTGAAAACCGGTGATGTGACCGTCATGTCAGTGTTCCTGATGATTCCATTTTAACGAAAATACTTAACAAGAATGTTCCTTTGCCGCGGTGAATGGCCAAACTTTATTACACTGATTGCTTATTGAACTTTTATGGCAAAGTTTAAGCATTAGGTTAAATACACCATTACGATGATACACCACATTAACAAGCTAGAAAGTTCCTTGGCAAGAGAGCATCCATTCAAAAGACAGATGAGCGGCGGGCGTGATGGGTGCCAGCAGCGACCTCACTGTCCACTCACCGGCCCGGCTCCCGCTCTGGGTGGGTTGTCCTCTGTGAAGGGTCCCCGGGGGGCCCCCCCCACCACCTGGCTCTGGGGGCACACAGGTTGCGGCTGCCCGACTGTGAGACCCGCGTCCCTGGCCCCTTGCCCCACAGCAGACTACTACAGCCCCTCGATGCTGGGCCTGAAGACGGACCAGGAGGTGCTCGGGGAGTTGGTGAGGCTGAAGCTGCCGGCGGTGGCGGCGCTGATGGACGGCCATGGCGTGCTCTGGACCCTGGTCGCGTCCCGCTGGTTCATCTGCCTGTTCGTGGATGTCCTGCCCGTGGAGGTGAGGGCGCCCGGCTGGGCCCGGGGCCGGCGGCAGGGCCATGCGCTGACCCGCCGCTCCCTCCGCAGACGGTGCTGCGTGTCTGGGACTGCCTGTTCAGTGAGGGGTCCAAGATCCTCTTCCGAGTGGCCCTGACCCTCCTCAAGCATCACCAGGCTTCCATCCTGGAGGCCACCAGCGTCCCCGACCTCTGTGAGAAGTTCAAGGAAATCACCCAGGGGCGTTTCGTGACCGAGTGCCACAGCTTCATGCAGGTGGGTGTCGGCCACGCCCGTGGTCCCCCGGGTACCCAGGGAGGGGCTCCAGGACACCAGCGTGCTCACCCCGCACCCCCCGCACTGTCGGCCGGGGGGCGGTGCCACCTGGGACCCCCCCCACTCCGCCGGAGCCTGTCGGGCTGCTCCTTGGCTTCTTCCGAGCCTGGGAGGTGACCCCACCCTGGGGCCTCCGTGATGGCCCCGTCCACGCCGGGCCCAGCCTCCTCAGCCCTACCCTGTTGCCTGCTCTCCCGCCCTGGTGGGGTTACACCTGTCTGTCCCCCCCGCTGTGTTCCAGGCCTGGTGCAGGCTGTGTAGACAGCTCAGATCACCTGAGTTGCTGACCTGGGTGCCCCGTCCCACGGGCCCTCAGGGAGGCGGGGGCGGGCAGGAATCGGGGACGGGTGACCCCCGGGGGCCAGGGGGCCACTGACCCAGCCTCTGCTGGCCTGCGGTGTGGACACTCAGGCCGTGTGGCTTTGGCGTCTGGCTCTCGGGCTCAGCGTGATGTTTCCGAGGAGGGGTGGGGGGCTCCCAGGGAGGAGCGGGGGCTTCCAAGTGCAGCAGGTGCCCACTGAGGGCGGTGGCCCTGACGGCTGCGTGTCCGTGGTGGGGTGGCTGGTGTTCTGGCCTGGACGTGCTCTGGGCCGTGTGAGCTGAGTGGACTCGAGGAGATCGCAGAGGGTGAGGCGGGGGGAGCATCTCCCCAGATGGCAGAAAAAGTGCTGTGTAAAGAAACGTGTCTTTGCACACGGCAGGTGTGGCCGCTCACCTGACGTGCTGGTGGGAAGCGACCCTGGTCTTATTTCCTTGGGGGTCTCTATAAACTTATATTTCTGCAACACTGCAGTTTATGCATCAGAACTCTCTCAAGTCCTGCCCCAGAACATCTAGAATCTCCTAGATCCCACGTGGAAGCTAGGAGCACTGTAATGTGAAGAGACCAGCTGAACCCCCAGAAGAGCCTGTTCTCCGGCCACTGAGACACCCGGGGCTCGCCCCCGAGGCTCCTTCCCTTCTCCTTGTCATGAGGCAGTTTCTCTCTTACTGGAAACAAGTCTGAGTCCCTTCCTGCTTCCGCTTCTCAAGTCTAGTCTCTCCTAGGCCCCAAGTAGGTTTCAGAGCTGCTAAGAGAGTCAGCAGTTACAACAGGGTCAGAACTCAACTCAGCACAGGCAAGAAAAGCAAAAATAGCAAACTAGGACCACGTGGGGCTTGAAAGCTTCTGTGCAGCGAAGAGCAGCAGTGGCAGATGAAAAGGTGACCCCCCCAAACAGGAGGATGTGTGTGCAGGCCGCGTCCAGACACACTGAGACCTCAGCTGGACACGGAGCTGAGGCATCCCGTTCAAAAACAGGCAGAGGACCTGAGTAGGTAGATGTCCAAAGACACACAGGTCGCCAGCAGGCACATGAAAGGATGCTTCAGTTCACTCATCAGGGAAACGCACATCAAAACAACGTATCACCCCACACCTGTCAGAATGGCTGTCATCCAAAAGACCACAAATAGCAAGTGTTGCTGAGCATGCAAACAGGGAGCCTTGTGCACCGTTGGTAAGAGTGTAAAATGGTGCATCCACCCTGGACAACAGTATGGAGGCTTCTCAGAAGCTGAAGAGAGCTACTGTCTGATCCAGCCGTTCCACTGCTGTATTTCTCGAAAGGAAATGGAAGCAGGACCTCCAGGAGACGCTGCCCACCCACGTTCACTTCAGCGTCACAGCAGCTGCAGCGTGGACGTGACCTGCAAGGCCACACGAGTGGATGGGGAACCAGTGTGGTCCAGACACACGGCGGGCTTTCACTCGGCCTTAAGAGGGAGGGAGATCCGACACCTGCTCCACCCTGGATGAACCTGGAGACATCATGTTCAGTGATTGTCACAGAAGGACAAAAACTGATTCCTCTAACGCAAGGCCCCTAGAGGAGTCAGGTTTATAGAGATGAAAGTGGGGGCTGGGGACGCAATAGGCTGGGAGATGAGGAGGAGCTGGAAGGTGACCCCACAGGCGCAGAGCTGACACTCCTCAGCCACACACCTCGAGTGGCTCAGGGATAAATGGTGTGGCTTTGGTGCACACACATAAAGCCAGTTAAGAGTGGAAACTGGATGTCACTCAGTTTTAATTCCAGTGGCTCAGAACCTCTGACTTCAGAATCGGACGTTTACTTCACGGACTGGAATCAGCATTTTAAAAGTGGCCCGAGTGAAGGGGGCAGGAGCCCGTGTGCCGTCGCCCCTGTGGCCAGACATCCCGTCTCAGGCACTTTCCTGAGCTGCAGCCAGGACGTGGCCTGGCCTGAGGACCGACGTTCAGAGCTGGGCCCCAGCTGCACACACACCCTGGGACCATATCCGCCCCCTCCCCACCCCTGGTCCTCAGAGCGCTTTGCTGAAATCCCTGCGGGCGTTTGGGGGGACACCGGCGGCCTGTTCTTGCTCAATCCTGCAGCAAGCCCTCCTCTGCTCCCCGCGGCCTGCCCCTCCTGGGCTCCCCATGCCCAGCCCTCCAAGGAGAAGGGCTCCCCACGCCCTCATCCTCTGGGGGAAGGGCTCCACTTGCCCTGCCCTCCCAGGGAAGGTCCAGCAGCCGCTGCCCCAGCGCCCCCGCTGGTCCCCTGGGGCGGTGTGACTGCTTTGGAGGCGTCTGTGCTGATGCTGGAGCTGTGTCACTAACCGCCTTCTGCTTTGTCACGTGTGAAGGAAACTGACCGTCCTCCACTCGCTGGCCTCAGCCCAGCCACCACCAGGAGCTGGGAAGGTCTAAACGAACCCATTTCTGTTCCAGAGAATATTTTCGGAGCCTGGCAGCCTGTCCAAGGCCAGCATCACACGGCTGCGGGAGCGCTGCAGGGCGCGGCTGCTGGTGCAGGGCTGATGCCTCGAGCTGCCACCTCCGGCTGGAGCAGTCACTGGCGACTGAGCGGTCCTTCTGTACATGCTCTTCACTGGGAGCTGTCTGTTGTTTCTAAATACACATTTTCACCTGAGATGCTGACCTGTGTAATGTGAGGTGCGTGTCTGTTCGTCACGTCAGCTCTTGAGCCTGCAGTCTAAGAGTGGCTGCACAGACGGCATGTAAACCAGGTGTAATTGAGGAGCTGTCACCCCAGAACTCGGGGGAGGAGGTGCCCCAAGACCCCTCCTCTCCCGGCCGGAGGCCCGGCCCTCCACCCTGCAGCTGCCGTCTCGCTCCGTCTGGATATGGCGCCGCTCGTGGGAAACCCCTCGCCCAAGCAGGCTGTGCCCTGCACAGGACGTGGGGACAGTGGGCACAGGCAGGGGTGGGGGGACAGCGTGTCCCGGGAGGGGACCAGCTGACAGGTTCGCTGCCTCGGGAGCCGACCAGCTGCACCTCGAGGGGCACATGCCCCGGCAGGGGCTCCAAACCCCACTGCCCTACAGATAGGAGCTGCTGGGCTCAGCCGGTGCTGCCCACCCCCGGGGAGACGGCCATGTTGGGAGCTCATGTGGCCTGCATCTGGGCTGCTGGGGGGTGGCCAGGGGCCAGCCTCTGCCTACTCGGGCCTGAGCACCCCTCCTTATCCACCCATTTGTAGGACTGGGTAAGGAACCGTCTTCCACAGAGATCTGTCCCCAGAAAGCGGATCCCCCTGCTGGGTCCTAACCAAAGACCGCCTTTCTCGAGTTGCTGGCCTTGGGGCAGCCCCCCAAGCTGACCTGCTGACCCAGCTCACGTACTGCCACCGCTCGTGGGAGCTAACAAAAGCATGTGGGAGGCCCAGACAGACAAACAGATGTTTTATTAGCATCGTTACGGCAACGCGCCCCAGAGGGGATCCTTGGCACACAGCCCACTGAGCTGCAAGCGATGAGCAGAGCGGAAGGACTACTGTACACGGTGCGGAAAGAGGATCACCCCAAACCTCCAACAGAAAATGGAAAATCACTTTACAAAAAAGTAAAATAAAAATAACACCCATTTTTCTATTTTAAAAAGTGCCAGCTCTCAAGAGGCAGTGCATGGGCCCCAGGACCCAGCGCCGGGTGCCCTGAGGCTTGGGGGCCGGGCCGGGCCAGGCGCCGAGGTTGAACTGAGGAGCTGGGTCTGTGTCTCGCCCTCCACGCTCACTGCCCGGCCACCGCCTTCAACAAAGCCGTGGACCAGACCCTCCTTCTGTGAGGCTTACATCTGAGTGAAAAGCCCCGACACCATGGTATCAGGAAGCCAAACCAAAGTGGAGCCTGTGCCCATTTAGAAAAGCTCTTACCCCCCCACCCCCTTAAGAGTCCTACTTTGGTAAATATTAACGTTTAACCAGTTAGCAAAATAGTTAACCCAGTTAGCAACATTAACACCGTCATTTCCATAGTTACTCTCCTGTGCATAGTAAGTGTTGCCAGATGAACTTCACGTTGGATAAAGCAGATTTGAAAACCAGTTTGCAAGAAAGTGCCCCCGACAGTGACCTAAGCCCAGGGAAGCGGCCGGGGCTGTGCCCGCGACTAGATGGTCTGGTAGCCGGCGTGGCTCCTCTTGCGGCCGATCAGGTAGGCGATGAGCACAATGAGGACCAGCCCGGCCAGGGCGCCACCCACAGCGATGGGGATCAGCATGCTGTTCTCATCCAGCTGGCACTCCTCCACTGCGGGACGGACAGACAGACAGCGGGCTCGCCCCAACAGCTCTCGCAGGGAGGCCTCCCCAGCCCTGCTTGGAGGGTGGTGGGAGCACCCATGGCCGGGCTGGCCCTGCGGAGTCAGGGACACAGGCAGAGGATGCTGGGGCCCTGCTCCTGACCACCTTGCCTACTCACCAGGCCCAAACTTGCCCCCGTCCACACGGAAGGCCTGCACCCACACTCTGAACATGTTGAGGGAGAAGGTGCTGGTGACCCGCAGGCGCTGCTCGGCGTCGCACTTGTACGAGCTCCCCGCAGTGGCCTGTAGTGCGCTCAGCGAGCTGTTGGAGGCCGTGAAGCTGTGGCCTGCAAAGGCAGAGGGGTGAGCGTGCCAGCCACCTGCAGGGCATGCAGGGTGGGGTGGGGGTGGAGGTCTCACCTCTGGCGTCGGGCAGAGTAAGGTTCAGCTGGACTCCTTGCAGGAAAACCCGGCTGGAGCTCTCGTTCTAGAGAAGACGACACATGGTCACCATCAGACTGGAGGGTCACCTGCTGGTGACAGTAACAGCCGGTGCCCCCAGCCTCAGGAGGAAACTGCACGGCGCTCGGGAGCGAGAAGGCAGCCTGTCGTCTCAGTAATGGAACTCCAGGTGGCTCCTTACAGTCCCTGCCCAGAGCCGGAGTCTGCTAGGATAGGGGCTAAAGGAGCCATGCTCCCCAAAAGCCAACACTGCACTTTCCGGGAAAGCATTTATCAGGAGAAGCACAGCGATCCGCTACAGAGTGAGGCACGCACGTCCACCAGGGCCGTGTCTGTGCGTCCCTGGTCTCCTGCTGACTGGACTCGCCCCGGGCAGGGGTGCAGAGTCGGGGCGCGGGGATGCCACTCGAAGATGGGGTGGGGACAGCACCCGAGGCCTCAGGCCACCCCAGTTCCTGCAACACCACCAGTACTGCGAGGGTTCTGCTGATGGACTCAGGCTAGGGGGCCAGGGGTCCCACAGACCAGGCAGGGCTGGGGGGCCTCACCAATGAGAACTGAAGCACCAGGAACAGGAGGTTCCTGTCGTAGAGCTCCAGGGTTGCCAGCGTGGCAGAGCAGTTGCCCCCGAAGGTGGTGTTGTCGGGGTTGACGTTGAACTCTCTGGTCACCGTCTGTGAGGAGAGCAAGGGCTCAGCTCCCCGCCCACCAGCTCCAGGCGTGAGCAGGCGGAAGCGGCAAGGAGGCAGTGGCTTCATGGCCCGTCCACAGGAGCAAAACCAGAAGGAGAGACGCAAGTCCACTCAGGGAAGACTGCTGGATGCAGGCAGTTTCTGGTACTTCCGGCAGCCTTCCCCGGCTCTCATCGCTGCAGGAGGGGCAGGCCTCTGTCTCTCAAAGCCACCCCAGGCCCTTGGCCTCGGGGAGACTGTTATCTCCGAGGACGAGCAGAGAGCCCTGAGCACCTGGTGGACACTCAGGAGAGCCTGCCCTCTCTCAGGGCTGACACACCTGCCCCGAGGGGACGGCAGCTTCCGGCTCCATGGCCTCAGGACAGCGGCCCGAGTGGATGGGGGTCCAGCCGAGCACCCCAGGACACACCGCCCACGACCTATCCCAGGACCCAGTGCAGGGAGCAGGGGTCGGGCCAGCCCACCTTGTTGTCGACTGTCCTGTAGGTGACGTTCAGCTGCAGCCCCATGCTGACCAGCAAACAGGTTCCGTTGGTGCCATTCACGCTGTACCTGAACACCGTGGGGCTCGCGGGAGCTGGGGTGGGCGAGGGCTGGGGGGGTGCGGTCGGGGTGGCCGGGGTGGGCAGGTCCTGTTCACAGCGCGTCTCTGCGGGGACAGTGGGGTGAGTGTGCTCAGCCTCCAGGGAGCCAGGGCTCCAGAAGTGCTAAGCGGGAGTGGGCTGCCCCCGGCCCCCGACTCCTGCCTGCACTCCCAGCTCCTCCTGCTCCTGGAACCCTAGGGCCTCGGGCGGCCCCTTGCCCACAAGGACATCCTCTCGCAGAACAAACCTCCCGTGAAGTCAGGAACAAAACCTCAACCGTGGCCTGTGCCGTTGGGACGGTGTCCCCGAGGCCATGTGGAACAGTGCCGGCTCACACACACACTGAGCGCCCGCACGCCAGGCTGGACACGGCCCCGAGGCAACAGCAGAGGGTCAGGAGCGCCCAGGCCAGGCGGGGCAGACACTGGACATGTGCCACAGGCCGGCAGCAGCCCGTGTCCCCCGGGGGCCAGCAGGGGCGGCCCCGCAGGTCAGGCTTGGAGCCAAGACCCATGCCCAGGCCACAACTGCCGCAAGCCCGTTCAGGGCGGGCAGGAGGCCACACCTAGCAGACAAGGGGGCCATGGGTGGGCGGTGACCCCAGCAGGGAGAGAACCCCATGCAGGGGGCCTCACGCCTGTGCCGTCCCTCCTTGGAGAGAGACCACCATGTGGCCACTGACGAGAGGGCGGCTCTGCATGGGGACCAGGCTACGTGTGGAATCTGTACCCTCTGCGGTTCTGCCGTGAACCTAAAACTGCTCTGAGACCAGTACTCTAAAAACAAAGCGATTGTTTACCTTAACAGCAACATGAGTCTCTGTGTCTGCATTCAGAGGCCTCAGAAGCAGAAGGCGGCCGTCAGGTGAGGTGTGCCCAGATGCCAACCGCCTGGCCTGACCTCCTGGGTCCGCACTGCTTCCCTCTGCTGAGACCCACGCTCAGCTGCTGACTGCAAACCCAGGCTCCTGAGAGCACGTGACCTGCTGCCACGGGCACCCCCGAGCGCCTAGACCCCAGCTCACACCCACAGCCTCACGTGCTCTCTGCCCCAGGAGCAGCCGGGACCCTCTAGGGCTGGCCTGACCAGGGCCGCGTGGCGGCCTCAGGACCTGCCCCTCAGCCCTGTGATGGGGCTGCAGGCCACGCATCTCCCGGTCACGTGGGGCTTCCTTCAGCCCCTGCCCCGCCACTGACGTGCCTATGGGGTCAGTGGTTGGCAAGCCTCCTCTGAGGAGGGCCGGGCGGTGGCTGCTGCGGATGGTGGCCGTAGGTGTCTGGCTCCACCATGCGGGCACTGGAGCAGCATGAGAGTGGGGGGCAAGGGCCCGTGGCTGCTCCCCACAGAGCTCAGTCACAGGCACGGAAAGCCTTACCTTCACCTGTTGTGAAACAGTCTTTGGATTTTTTTTAACATTAAATTTCTGATCACAAACACCAACCTTCATCTGTTGGCCGTGCAGAGCCTAGAAGCCTCGCAGCCCCACTGGGAGCAGGAGGGCCCAGGCCTACTGCCGGCCACAGGGTTGCCATGCAGCCCAGCACCCGGCCACTCTGAGCCACCAGGCAAGGCTGGCACAAGGAGTAGGGTGGGGGGATGCCACCTCCCCCCACAGTGACCTGTGAGCTGACCAACAGGATATGGGGAGTTGGACGCAG